AATCAGCAGCCTGAATCAACCCAAGAAGTTGAATTAAGCAGGTTAACTAGAGAAAGAAGACTGACATTATCTAATGACTATATAATGTACTTTGTCGAAGTTGACTGTGATATAAGTGTTGAAAATAATCTATTAACATTTACTCAGGCCATAAAGAGTGCGAACTTTAAATTGTGGCATGATGCTATGATTGATGAAATGAATTCCATGGTAAACAACCATGTTTGGGAACTTATAGAGTTGCCTAGTGGGCCTAACGCCATTAGCTGTAAATGGCTTTATAAAACCAAAAGGGACTTACAAGGCAACATTGATAGATATAAGGCTAGGTTGGTTGCTAAGGGTTTCACAAAAGTGGAAGAAATCGACTATAGGGAAATATTTTCATCTATATCCAAGAAAGATTCATTCCCTATCATCATGACATTGGTTGCGCATTTTGATATAGAGTTGCACCAAATGGATGTGAAGACTGCATTCCTCAATAGTGAACCAAAGGAAGAAGTCTATATGAAATAACTTGAGGGATTTGTTGCAGAAGGTAAAGAGCAGTTGGTATGCAAGCTAAAGAAATCAATATATGATTTGAAACAAGCTTCATGACAGTAGTACTTAAAGTTCCATGAAGTAATCACATCATTTGGTTTTGTTGAAACATCATAGATGACTATATATACCGCAAGGCTAGTGGGAGTAAGATCATATTTTAGATTTTGTATGTGGATGACATTTTGCTTGCTACAAATGATCTGGGACTATTGTGTGGGGGAAACAGTTTTTGTCCAAGAGTTTTGACATGAAAGATATGGGTGAGACATCTTATGTCATTGGCACAAAGATCTATAGAGATAGAACCTAATGTCTTGTAGGCTTGTCTCAAGAAGCTTACACTGGCAAGATTCTTGAATGATTTAGAATGAAGAATTGCTCATCTAAAATAGCTCTTGTTAAAAAGGAAGATAAATTTAGTTTAGATCAGTATCCCAAAATCGAGTTTAAGAAAATAGATGGAAAAGGTCCCATATGCCTTAGCGGTATGAAGTTGGATGTATGCACAGGTTTGTCCAAGACCTGACATCACTTTTGCTGTGGGCATGTTGGGGAGATATCAAAGTGATCCTGGGAAAGCACATTGGACAACTACAAAGAAAGTGTTTAGGTACCTACAAGGTACTAAACACTACATGCTTACATATAGAAGAACAGACAATTTGGAAGTAATTGGGTACTCAAATTCAGATCTTAGAAGGTGTGTAGATACAAATAAATCTACAACTGATTACATCTTTCTATTAGCAGAAGGAGCTATATCATGAAAAAGTACAAAGGAAACACAAACAGCTCCTTCTACTAGTGATGCTAAGTACATTGTATGTTTTGAGGCAAGTTCACAAGCAATCTGGATAAAGAATTTCATTGTCAGGCTGAAGATTGTGGACTCTCTAGGCTAATAAGAATGTACTATGATAAAGCAGCTGCAGTGGCCATAGCAAATAGCAAAAGGAATAAAAGTTGAAGCAAATTTATCGAACTTAAATTCCTATGCCTGAGAGAAAGAGTTCAAGATGGCTAAGTTTAGGTTGAAAGCATCAATACAAATGATATGCTAGCTGATCCTTTAACTAAAGTGTTGAAATGAAATGTTTTTGTTTCACATGTACTTCACATGGGACTTTGTCCCTCATTTGATTAATTGAGGTATGAGCAATGAAATGAAATTTACAGTTTATCATTTCTAATTTATGATCATATACATTTGTGATATTGAAATTGTTAAACATTGAGACAGGAACCGAACAAACATTGAATTTATTTATAAAGCGATACCCATTAAGTAAGGATGTTGCCTGTAATACATAAAAGGTAATACTTGATAAAAAAGGACTTATCGCCATGATTCTTGTAGTATGACCTTAGTTAACCTTGATAGGGCAATGGCATTGAGTATATAGGCTAAGTGAGAGAATGTGAGATGTTTATTATATTATCACTATTTAGATATTATTAGGATAATTAATAAATATCCTGAGTGTGGCCTATAGTCATTTTGGGCCCAGTCTAAGGTAGGTAATTGACTCAGTTAATTAAAGTTAATTTTGTCATGGTGAAAAATAACATACGGTATACTGTGTCTAGAGTGAAACCCTAATTCTCTTCTCTGCTCACTCTCTAAGGGTTCCCCTGTAAGACCCTTTAACCTCAAAACATTATAACTCATCATAAGACCACTACTATGGTAGAAAAGGAAAGCTGTTAAAACGAGCTACCATAGTAGAAGGAAAATTTCATATTTTTAGAAATTGACTTTCAAACTCGGGTCAACCCGTAATCCGTTGCATGCAACTAAAATCATTCATTTACATCTACTGGGCCTCCGAGCCTCCGGCCCGGGTAACAAAACACATCTACAACAGCCCATATAACTAGCTTCCAACAACGTAAATCAAAGTTCTACAAGTAATAGAAGAGGCCTCCGGCCAATCAAAAGTGAGAAAATACACTTCCTCCGGTTTACCATAAACCGGGCAATCAAAATATCAAAAAAGACCCTAACTGTGGCAATATACAACTGATCATACATAAACAAAGGCTAGAGGCCTAAAGCTAACCAAGCTCAAGCCTCTGCGTCTCTTCCCGAAGGCGCACGCCTAGCACCTTCACCTGAAAACATTGTAAACCATGGGGTGAGACAAAGTCCCAGTAACCAACCTTTCCAATACTAGGTACTACTAAATAGGTGCTCGTGAGGTGTTAAGTGGGGCAGTTCACAAATAATATATAATGATAGCCACAGCAATTCATGCAAGTGCAATGATGCAATCCCATCAACCAAATCCCTCACTTTGGGGGATTTTCAGGAGCCGAAGCTGGCCTATCCCTCACTATGGGGGATGTAAGGAACCATAAAAGGCCTATCCCTCACTCTGGGGGACGTAGGGAGCCAAAAGGCCTATCCCTCACTATGGGGGACGTACTAAGCCAACCATCATGCATTAATGGAGGTCTTACCACGTGGTAGTAAATATCAAAAACTCTCAGCAATTCCCAAATCATGCATTATGCTCAAACTTTAATCAAATAGTAATTAAACATTTCATAAGTAACTTCATTCAGTGGCATATCCTTCACAATTTCAAGATTTCATTCATCATCAATCAAAACCCCACAAGACGGTTTTCCTTTTTATATACAACATATAGTTTGAACATAACTACTACTTGGAGCACAAAACATAAATCTACTCACAATACCACAGAAGCAAGTACTAAGGATTGGAAAGTGGTTACCTCTCGCCTGAGCAAGGAATAACAAACCAACGATGTGGCCCTGTGCACCACCAAAACTCACAACCGGTCTACACAAGCACACAAACACACAACCATCATGTATTAGCTTTCAAACTAATAATGTGGCCAAAACAACACTTGGGGACACAAAATTCCTATCTCCCATCAAACTCTACCCAACTCAAAGGGTATAACTATCAAGGCAACACTCCATGGTCATACCAATCCATTAAAACCTTAATTCCTTTCCAAACATCAATTAAAATTCATAACCTCAAGGACCCACTATAGGAATTCTACACCCAAACATCCCATTTGAGCAATTAAGGTTCCAACAACAAATCTAAACCGATTAAACATCCGATTTAACCCTCCTTAACATAACCCAATTCACAAAACTCAAAATCAACCTCTACATTGTCATTCTCAATCCCAAATCACCTATTTCCATAAACCCTAACTCCAAAAACTCAAGATTCTTTAAATCCAAGGAAACTACACCGATTAAATACTTAAACTAACCCAAAGCAATCAATTAAACTCAAAACAATCGGTCAAAAACCTCAGTTCCATCACAACTTAGAAAATCCTAGGGTTCCAACAAAAATCCTCAGAAATTCCAAGAAAGAAAGTAGATTAGAGGTTAAAATCACTTACTTGAGGTAATGGATCCTTAGAAATGTCTCCTCCAAGCCAGAAATTCGAAACCCTAGCAGAGCTCCTCTCTCCTCCTTCAGATTTTCTAATTTTCGCACCTCACGACTCTCCCGCAACTATATAGATTCGGCACCCTTCGCTGCGGCGAACTAATCCCGAGAGGGATTACTCGCCTAAAAACCCAACTTCGCCGTGGCGAAAGCTTCCCGAGAGGAAACTCTCGCTCGCCCAGATAGTACTCCCTTTCTCAGAACTTAACTAATTCCTCACTAGTAATCGATGACAGATACCTTTTTGATAACCATGATAGATTGATGTGTAAGTCATTCTTTTTTATTTTTATTTTTATCATGGTTATTGCTTTAGAAAGGAAATTTCTAGTTTGTTGCTTTTATTATTAGCACATCAAATACTATGACTATATATAGGGCTAAGTTTAGTATTTTAAAGGTAGGACGATTCATGATGTGGGAGGGGCAGCTGGCAGAAGGAAAACAAACAATATAACCAGAGAGGGAGAAGCTGACTTCGAAGCCAAGGAAGGAAAACTCCGTCTCTATCGCTAAGTCTTCTAAAGAATTTCCTCCTTTCCCTCACAAGCAATTTTCTCTTCTCATCCCAATCTCGCTAGTTACCGTACCTTCTTTGAGTTGCTTGTGCTTTCACCCACTTCTCAATCTTGTTCTCTCACAATCGCACGTCGTTATTAGTTGAAGATTTCACCAAATCTCTTTCATGTATAATTGTAGGTTAAAGCCTTCAATTTTCACCCTGGTTATACTTTCCCCTCCTCTTTTTTCTTGAGCCATCATTGTCTCCAAAGTCGTAAAATTTTTTGTCATCCGTGCTGGAGATTCATAACTGAGTTGACTCGGGCCTTGAGCCATGATTCAATGACCACTGGCCAGTTTCGCTCTGTGCAATTTGCTCTGAGCCTCTGAAAAATGTTATTGGGCCAAGAGTTGGGTCGGAAGTATGAGCCCAGCTAATAGATTAGGCTAGGTTGACCCGACGGATATCAATGTGGTTTTAGAAGCCCCGCCTCCGCTTTTTCTTTGTTCCATTTCGAGTTTCCTCTTTCGCAGCTTCCGCGGAGGAAACTTTCGCAGTTTGGCCTCCGTTCCCTCTGCGTCTGTTTCTGACAAATTGGCAGTAGCTCGGAACTGACAAGAATAAGCCTCGCTCTCATACTATTGTACAGTAGTAATCTCCTGCTCTTCGTTTTTTCGTTTGTTTCGTTGAATCCTTGCCTCCACGCTTTGCATGGTCCTGCCGGTGTTGATGGAGGCTCAGAGTCATTTTCAAGTAGACCTTGGTCACCTCATGGCCTTCAATCCTCACCATAGCTTCCCTTCTCAACATTCTTCCAGGTTCTCTTATTTTGCAGTGTGTTTCTTGTTTTCGTCTTTACTTGATCCTAGCCGTTGTTTTCATTAGTAGTTTATGTTTCGAAGCTCACTGTTCAGTACCCTCTTTGTTAATTTTCCTTGTTCCATGGGAGAATGTAATTCTAATTAGGCAAAGGTTCATAGGTCAAAATTGCAGTATCGAGTGAACTAAGGGGAGCTGGGGATTTCTTTTGGAGGGACGAAAGTGATTAAACTTTAATTTGTGGGATGCTTATTAATTTATAACTCATCTAAAGGTTGCCTTGGTTTGAATTTTGTAACGAAACAGTGAGTTTACGTTGTAGTAGTAGTTTATAGATTTTAACTGCCTACTAATCAGTTCTGATTGCGGTCACTCCTTTCCCCCCTACCTCCTTGATCATTAGATTGTTTGTATATCCTTTTTGTGGTTCCTATGTGCACATGTGACGAGGAGACGCATTACTTATAGCCTGTGTTGAACTTTGTTTTTCAACGAACGCAGGGAGGATCTGGTTAAGGAGTGTCTGCAAAAGGGAACTGAGTTAGTTCAAGCTATTGCAGATAGTCTCTTCCATTTACCATCCACTGAAGATGTAGATGGACCGCTTGTGAAGCTGCCACCCCCAGTGACAAAATTGCCCAGAGAGAAGCATGTAAGTTCATTTGTTTCATAATTGGACAAAAAAGTTCTTTTACTTATTAGTTTTCTGGAATCAGATATAAATCATATATTCATGTGCCTTTCTAGCCCCAAAGCCTCAGTTTGAATCCTTATCTATGAATTGCCAGTTTTCGCCAAAAGGAAGGTTAACTTTTCCTGGCATGCTGAGTGGCTTTATTTGCTGAAAGTTCTCTTGAAAAATTTTATTTATACTCTTTAGACAATGAATTTCTACGTGCTGACGTCTGTGACATTTAGCAATGCCTTGAAGCAACGAGACTGCTATTCATATTAAAGTTGGTTCTATGAGTAATAATGTTGAACCACATCCAGACAAAGAAAGAATTGGATAGTCTATTGTTTCCATCTTTGTTGTATTGACTTCATTTGGTTAGAAGTATGCTTCCAGGTAAAACGTGTGGAAATTGTCTTCTTTTAAAGAAGTATTAAAAGGAGGTTCAAGAAAGGAAATAAAATTTTGTGGTAAAATGATATTGTATTTTGAAACTAATTACCTCTGTATTGTTTATTTTTACATCAGATTCCATGACTTAGGTTTTTCTTTTTTCTTTTCTTTTGGGATTTTGTACTCCTAGCAACATTATTTTTGCTCATGAAGTGTTATAATACTTTCAGCTCCCAAGGCCAAAGCCTCCAACAAAATGGGAACTATTTGCCCAAAAGAAAGGTTAGTCATCCTGTTTAAACCTCAAGCAAATTGCAAGGTTTTTTCGTGAATACATTGTTAAATTGAGCTTATATGCTTTGATGTAGTAAATTGGGTCGTGTTATTTCCTAGTCTTATCCAATAAATTTTATTACGTTACTTTGCAGGCATTAAGAAGCGTAAGAAAGACAAGGTTGCATACGATGAACAGTCTGGAACCTGGAAACGCAGATTTGGATATGATCATGCAAATGATGAAGAGGCTATACCTATTATTGAGGCAAAACCGAATGATGGTAACTATTTTTTCTTTATGTTGGAGTTGTCATGTGAATCGCTTTTACTGTATTTCTACTTCATTGTCAAACGCCAATGGACACCCTTTTTATTATCACTTGTCGGCACCAATCTATTAGTGTGAGGATAATAGTTTTAACTTAAGGAAAGACATGGCACACAAGAGAAAGCCCGGTTTGACGCGCAAGAACAACTAATTTGGAATTAGAGCAATAGATAAATTGGCAGATCAGAACCACTAGTGGAACAGTTTGAAAGACATTATGACATGTTGATTAGTATATCATAGGACATTGTTGAACCTTTTCTGCGGTTTGAGCTTAGGTTTTTCTAATTTGGGAGTAATACATTAATACACTACTTAGTATTGATACTTTGTAGTTATTTTCACTCTAATGTAATAAATATGAAATATTATTCAAACTAAGTCACTCATAATATTTCTTCTCATACTAACTTTGTCGAACTAATTTTTTCTTTTATCCTGAACCGAAACTTGCCTTTGTTTTTATTACAAACAGTTATTTTCACGAGCCGTCTGTCATCAAGACCTTTGACTGCATACGGTTTAGTGACAAATCACATATTCGTTTATTATTTTTATATGTCAATTCAATATAATATTAAATATGATTTTAATACATGTTTAGTGTAAGTTTTTTATTTTTGTTTTGATATTATTTAATTATTTAATATTTAATATGTAATATTAATTATGCATAACAACATGTAGAATTGGAATTTATTTATTGCAATTTCTTAACCATATGTTGTTCTGCTCATGTGGACAACAGCGTTGATGACACTTGATCAGCAATGAAAGGTTGGTGTTGTGTAGAACAACACATCTGTATAATTTTTCAATCTCACTCGAGGAACTGAGGGCTTGAGTGTTAGGATGGTCTGAGTGTCCTAACTATTGATAGCTGATAGGATGTGATGGGTTAGGATGATTTGAAACCCATTTTCACCCATCCTACACTGCAAATCCAAAACCCTTCAGAATTATAAGGTTTTGGGATGGATTGAATTCTCTTTTCTTCCTCCTTTATGAAGATCCTATTTGTTTTAGAAGAGTTAGCATCAAAAGGGTGGTAAAGTGAATTTCTCTCCTCATCACACCATTAATGACATTGTAATATCTAAATAGGGGGCAATGCGGCAACTATAATTTTTTCTTTAATCTATGTCTTAACGGAGTGAGTTATCTCCCCCACCCCATTTGGCCTCACTATGATTAAAAAGCCCACTCCACTCTCCAGTCTCGTCAAATCTCCCGCTCTAGCCCATACTAATTAGTAATGGATAACGGTGGCAGTGTTGACTATATGTAATGCACTAGGTCGTAGCACAGTCCCCGCCAACAGATACTGAATTTACATAAACTAAAGTAGATTAAAGAGTTAAGTATCAATTAGTTCAACTGTATCATATAAATTATGCTCATCGTGTGGCGTTATAATCTTAATGATAGATCAGACTTGACTGCTGACCAGTTTACCAGTTTATTGGTCCGGCCAGCCAGCTGTGTTCCTATAACCCTTTTTTAGGGTGGTCTATCCTATACTACCTTTAGTCTTTAATATAAAACTTAGTTAGAGATTGAATTTGGTCCTAAATATAAGAACTTAATTCACTCTGTTTCTAAAATTTATAATGTTCTCTCTAAAATATTATATTATTGATTGAAAAGGGTTCCCCTTAATGGATAGTTTCAATGCATATGATTAAAGAGAGTAGTTTACGAAAGTCAATACATATCTGTTACACTTAACTAACTTAACTAATTTCTTTAATCTCATCAAATTAATTATTTAGCTTTTATATTAAGGATCAGAGTTAATATTTTCAAGTACAAATTAAAGTTGTTGCTTGGTTTGATATTGGTAAGTTGATACATGTTTCCTAGATCATTAATGAGCATAATTTAAATGTCTTATTCAATGCTTTTTCTAAAACATATAATTATAGTTGATGCTCTACTATTATCTTTCACCTGTCTAATTATGCATGCTTGCTCATGTATGCGCTTGTTGCTGTTCATTTCTGTATGGGAGTTATATTACTGATCTGTATCTGAACATTTTGCAGATCCAGATGAAGATCCTTTTGCCAAAAGAAAAGAAAATAAGAAGAAAAGAATTGAAAAACAGGAAAGCAATAGGCTGAAGAACTTGAAACAAGCTGCCAAAGCTGGTGCTTTACCAAGGTTTTTCTCTAAAATCTCAACTAGTTCTTGGGGTGCTATTAGCACAGAAATTCTGGTTGTTACTCTTCATTAGGGGTGAAAACATAGTAAGTGTATACAGCTTCTATTTTATGCCTTATCGTCTGCATTTTTTAAATGCATAACTTAACGCGCTACCGCATGTATAATATGTGGACTACCACATCTTTTGATTTCATTTTCTCACTGTAGTTTCTTTTCTCCCTGTATCCGCTAGTATTTTCTTTTCTTTGCTATAGCAAGGTTCTCATCTTGGCTATATAGTTTGTTATAGTAAATTCAGGTTATCTTGCTGGCTGGTAGCCTGATACTCTTAAATATAAACTGATAATCTCTGACAGATCTGTTATGCTTCTTCTCAATATAATCTTTTTAATCCCGATTGCGGTGCTCTTGTCGAACTTTTGAGAAACTGAGTAACCGTCTATGCAGCCATATTCAATTGGCTGCTACAGCTTTGCCCATTACCGGAACTCAAGCAGCACCCAAGAAAGTCACCAAGGATGAACTAGGTAATGTAGCTGGATTAGCAGCAACTGCAACAGCTAGTGGTGGGAAATTTGACAAGAAGTTGCCAGGAGAAAAAGCTGCACCGCACAAGGGAAAATACCGGAAGGTTGTATGCTTATCCTTTCATAACAGTAACAAATTTGTCCAATGCATGATAATATTTTTGTGCAGAAGCTTCTGTACTTTACTGAAATAATCAATATGCTTTGTTTTGTATTTGTCCAGTTCCTGCCAGTTGTGGAAGGATCGGGGGTTGGATCGCGTGAGAAGGAGCAAACTGAGAAAATAATGAACAAGATTTTCTCCAAGAATTCCCATGAAATTCTCAATATTGACAAGGTACTGTTTACTCATTTAATAACTTTGTTTCCAATCTTTAAGTGAAATTTACTTCTCTAAATCCTGCTATTTGGAAATTAGGCTGTCAAGACGTACAATGTTAAGAAAGAGAAAAAGCAAAGGAGTGAGAAAGCAAAGGCTGCTTCGGCAACCGGTGGCAAGTTGAAACCCCAGAAAAGAATTCAGAAGAAATCCTCTAAAAAGGGGGCTTCCAAGAAAGGCAAGGCAAAATGAAATTAAATTTTGTTTTCGGAGTAAAGCTTAGAAAGCGTCTGGCGCTTTTGAAACCTTGCTTACTGCGTTGAAGTTTTGTAGGAAGAAGAATTAGTGTATTAAAACAATTTCTATTATTTGTTCTATCTATTTGCCTACCTATATATATGTATCCATCTGAAATACTCAACATACGTAGATAGGAATGAAGCCATGGATTTATTATAGTTTGTTTCTATTCCCATCTTACTGCACTTGAGCAAGGGAGAACTTGGACTGGTTGGATTAGATTTTTCTACAGTATCATTTACTTGTTAGAAGACAAGGTTGGATTAAGTGGGTGTTTGAAACCATCCAAACACTTCATTAAACCCAATAATTCATTATTATGCCAAAACCATCGTTTCGAGACTAAAACCATGGTTTTTCATGAAGCTAATTTTTCCTACACGCTAAGTGGCAGATCATGGTGTATATGTATACGTATTAGTTATATAAACAATAAATTGATTTTACATATGTACGTATATTATTCATAATTTATATTTTTTTCAGTAATTTGCCCATAAAATCACTTTTTTTCCCAGTAATTAAATCTATTCTACAATTCTTTTTTAAAATCACTTTTTTTTTAATAAAAAAAAAGTTATTCTTTAAGAGCTAATTTAAACACTTCCGAAATTGGAGATAAAGTTCTAGTTATCTGCTGCATAGTTATCTGCTGCATGTGCTCCTTATTATAGGGCTTCATCTAGAAGAAATTTTTTGTTTTAAATATAACTTATTAACTAACCCATTATTTGCTACTTTTCAATTTTATCCTTATTAATAATTAATCTTTAATGTTAAAAAGCTCATCGAATTTTTTGTTTTTAATGTTAAAAAATTCATCAAACTTTGTTTATGTATATCATTTAAGTTGGGATAAACTTGAAAAAAATTATCAATTTAGAATATATTTAATGTTTTAGTTGTTATTTCTTGGTACGTAGGAATTAGTTAAGAATGTTTAGGACCAAAGGGAGTATTACCTAATTGGACATAAAAAATGTGTGAGCCTTATCATAAGACAAGTCTTTATTATGGAACTTTTTTTTTTTAATTATCCCCAATTAATATAAGATTTTTTATTTCACACTAATTTTTCCTGAATATTTTTAACTTCGTTGATCCATTTTCATAGAATTTGACATAGTTTTATGTTGGCTGTTGAGGGGAGGCAAGTCAATAATGATTTGGAGGTGAAGATGGGAGGTCAAATTATTCTTCAAGTGTTGAAGTTCAAATATGTAGGATCTATTATACTTGAGGATGGTAAAGTTGATGGAGACATTTCTCATATAATACAAACTGCATGGTCAAAATTGAGGAAGGCTACTAAAATTATTTATGCTAAGAATGTGTCTAAGAAGCTTAAAGAAAAATTCTATCGGAGTGTTATAAGACCAATTGTATTGTATGGTAGTGAATAGTGGGCGATAAAAGAAAACCAAGAGCATAAAGTTGGAGTTGCAGAAATAAGGATGTTGAGATGAAAGTGTGGTTATACAAGAAAAAGTAAGATTCGAAATGAAAATATCATAGCAAGAATAGGTGTGATGCCCATCAAAGAGAAAAAGGTTGAACATCACTTAAAGTAATTTAGACATGTGAAGAGAAAGCCATTAGAAGCGTAAGTGAGAAAAGCATATCAAACAGTTTAGAGTCCTACAAAAAGGGCAGAGAAAGACTGAGAAAAATGCTTAATGAGATCATTATCTTTTGGTCAACAACATATCTAACTTGGTTGTTGATAGAATATAACAGTATTGTACTATTCATGTAGCCAACATTACCTAGTAGGATAAAACTTCTTGTTGATACTCCCTTCTGTCTATAGTATAATATGTTGGTTAATTTTTCTCTTATACTAAGAAATAAAAGTTTAATCATTAAATATATCCTAAAATAATAAACTTTTCCTATTTTATCCTAAAAAATAATAAAGTTTCATTTAATTTTATTATCTCTCATATCTCTTCTCTCTCTCCTGTATATTATAAAGGCAAAAGTGAAAAAAAATCACATTAATTGTCTTGACAACATCTTATATTTTGAATAACTATTTTCTTCTAACCAACTTCTTATATTATATGGACCGAAGAGAGTATTTCTAAGTAACTAAACGACATTCTCTAATTAATAAACTTTATTATTAGTAATTTTAAAATTTTAAAAACATTAATTAATGTGTATTGAATTTCTCAATTTAATTAAGCCTATTCATCATTTTCTTGTTTGTCCATGTCTTCGGTGAAAACAAATAAACATAAACATAAATATAAACATAAACATAAACATAAGCACAAAAATAGCTCAATCACCTACAAGCATAATATAATTCGTTGAGAGACATTGGCCAAAAGTTTTCCTTTAAAATGCTCTCTACAACTTTTAGTTCACTTCTACTTTGAGATTTATGTGTGCTGAAGCGATGTGGTTCTCTAATTTGAGATTGCTCTAGTTTTTAAACTCTTAGTCATAAGACCCACTGTTAGGTTTTTGTAATATACAAAGCTTTTTAAAACATCCTGACATGCAAATATATAAGTTTATATTATAAGAGCTACAATACATCCTTTTATAATACCAACAAGTACCTCAATATTATAAAAACTATCCTTGCTATAATCATATCCTTTAATCAAACATTACATTTTAATAAATTATCTTTCTATTCATGGTATATCAGCTATTATTGGAGAATATTTTTTAATTTTTCAGCAAAATTTTAGTAATATTTTTTCATCTTAGAGACTTGAAAGTCCAGCTCACAAAAATGTTTATTTCTAGTATGCTTTTGGACATTTTCTACAGCAACCAACTCCTCCAAATATTTTACAAAATCATTTTCTAGTGCTAAAAGTATTTGGTTTTCTTGTTATTGAATAATATACCAACACAAATACAGAAAAAAATACTTTTTACCTAAATAGTTGTCACCTTTTTTAAATGATATGGGGATGATGGAAGTGTTTCCTAAATAGTAATGAGACAAGGAAAAAAAAGAGCATTAAAAAGGTGAAAAAAGAATAATGATTAGACTAGAATATAACAATACAGCACTTAATGTAAACTAATTTAGTATACTTACAGTCTTAAGATAAGATTTGTACACATAATCATCTTTCAATATTGTGTTGGAATGCATTATAGTTCTTATACACTTGCCATACTCTTTTCCGATTCTCAAACATTGTTAGCTTTTGATCATTGCTAATGACCTTCTTCTTTGGGATGGTGCATTTATCTTGATTTTGCAAAATACATCAGCTGCAAATGAAATGATATCATACGTTTCTACCAAAAAAAAAAAAAAGATTTTTGAGGTTAAAGAGGAACTTGCCCAAAAGAGGAATTTCAAATCGTCTACTTCTTTTTCAATATTTTGGCATGTTAAGATGCAGTCAGAAGCCTCTCCACTACCCCTTTAGTTCACTTCTTTCCACTTCCACAGAACAACGTCATTTTTTATTCTTTGCATACAGTCTCTCTTAGGAAAAAACCCGTTCTCTCTCTCTCTCTTCCTCTCCCCTCTTCTATTCTCTTACTCTCTCCCCATTTCTCTCTCTTTTGCAACAACCTAATCTCTGTAAGAAGAAATTCCATGCGAAGAGCACAAGTTGAGGTTTTAGTCGACCAATCATGGGGGCTTTCTCTTCCATTGAAGGCTTTGTTAAGGTCATAGAATATCTACAGAATCAACACCATCTGGTTGAAATTTACTTGAAAAGAGCATCCTTTGAATTAACGATTCCTCCAATTGCTATGTAAGATCTACATCTATATTCACTTCATAGACTTTATATTCTTGTTATTGTTAGGTTTTATCTCATAGTTGTTGATTTTAGTGGTTAAATTCACTACTATAGTCATGACTAGTAAATTATAAATGAAATTGATATAGGCTTCATTGATGAGTATTCTTATCTCCATCATAAAAGTTTGAAGCTATTATATTCATACTCAAGCAAGGTAACTTTATTGAGAAGGTTTGACAATTTGATTGCCAGTTATTTTACTTCCAATTTTTTGGTTTTTGGTGCAACATCCTGAGTTTTATCGGGTTTTAATAGCCTCTTTTGGTTGATTTTGAGGATAGATTAGTGATTTAATGTTGATCTTGGTGTTTGGGTTGGATTTGAGGTATGTTAGAGGAATAGGTGAACATAAAAACTTCGCCGCGGCGAACCGTGAGTTCCAGGGGGGATTGTCTTTCGGGCAGGTTTGGCCGCGGCGAAGTTGTTCAGGTGAGTAGGGTTTCCGCTTGGGAAGGTTTCGCCGCGGCGAAGGTAGGGGTATGCCGTGGCGAATGTTTTCTGGGCGAGCGAGAGTTTCCTCTCGAGAAGCTTTCGCCGCGGCGAAGTCAGGTTTTCAGGCGAGTAATCCCTCTCGGGATTAGTTTGCCGCGGCGAAAGGTCCCGAATCTATATAATCACGGAAGGGTCTGTTGGTGCGAAAATTAGAAAATCTGAAGGAAGAGAGAGAGGTTTTGCTAGGGTTTCAAATTTCTGGCTTGGAGGGGGCATTTCTAAGGATCCATTACCTCAAGTAAGTGATTTTAACCTCTAATCTACTTTCTTTCTTGGAATTTCTGAGGATTTATGGTGAAACCCTAGAGTTTTCTAGGTTGTTATGGAATTGAGGTTTTTGACCGATTGTTTTGAGTTTAATTAATTGCTTTGGGTTAGTCTAAGTATTTAATCGGTGTAGTTTTCTTGGATTTGAAGAACTTTGAGTTTTTGAAATTAGGGTTTATGGAAATAGGAGGTTTGTGATTGAGGATGATAATGTAGAGGTTGATTTTGAGTTTTGTGATTTGGGTTATGTTAAGGAGGGTTAAATTGGATGTTTAATCGGTTTAGAATGTTATTAGGACTTCAATTGTTCAAATGGGGTGATTGGGTGTTGAATTCCTATAGTGGGTTCTTGAGGTTTGAATCCTAAATTGATATTTAGAGAGGAATTAAGGTTTTAATGGATTTTTATGACCTTGGAGTGTTGCCTTGGTGGTTATACCCTTTTGAGTTGGGTAGAGTTTGGTTGGAGTTAGGAATTTTGTGTCCCCAATTATTGTTTTGGCCACATTATTAGTTGAAAGCTAATATATGGTGGTTGTGTGTTTGTGTGCTTGTGTAGACCGGTTGTGAGCCTTGTTGGTGCACGGGGCCGTGTTGTTGGTTTGTTTTTCCTTGCTCA